TTTTATCGCGAGAAGGGTCCAGCCGTCCCTTTCCCTCGTCAACGGTGCTAACGTCGAATTTTGGTACTCACGAGAGTTTTTTTAGCTATGTTTTGCTTTCACCCGCAAATAGTTTCGTAAATTTTCACCCCATCCATGAGGATTCGAACTCACGACCTCTGTAACTAGCGGATTGCGAGGATACCACTAAACCACCGGGGCGACCGGTAGATGGTAGAGGTGGAGGATATGGGCCAGAGGGGCAGACGACAGAGTCCAATGATGGGAGACAGAAAAAAAAATTAGATTAGTTCCCCACAAACAAGTGCTAGTTCGCCACAGGTACTGCCTCCACCGCCCGACTCGCTTCAACACCAGTGCCCGGTCGCCGTTTCNGCAGGGAGGGAAACAGGGCGCAACAACATCAGCCGGGTACACAGTTCGCCACAAGCGCTGCCTCGGCCGCCCTACTCGCTTCTACAGCAGTGCCCGGTCGCCGTTTCTTCCCCCCCACCGCCGCTTCCCCGACTCTCTTTCTCTTCGGTCCTGAGATGGCCGTACTCTCTACTTCTTCTGCTTCCCTCGCGCGCTGGCGCTTCGCGGACGCTTCCGCCTCCTGCCTGTGCCATTTCCTCATGACATGAGCCACGCCGCCCCCTCCTCGACCTTGTTGTACCACAGCTCCGGGTCCTTGGCGCTGTCTTTCCATTTCCCCCCTTCCTTTCCGTCTCCCACATGTTGAAGGCCACGAGGTCCTCTCCTAGACGAGACACCCAGTCGCTCTCCTGCCCGCCCCGGTATCCCACGCCCCCCGCCATTGCTCCTAACAGCATGCACTTGGGGAGGCGGTTGTCCTCCATGCATGCGCATAGCAAGCCTGTGTCTAACACAGATGATCTGGATAGATTCGGGTGATAGTCAATTGCAATGATGGCTTTGGTTGGTTGTTCATTATTGATGTCCACGGTTCATTCTGACAGCACGCCACAGCAGTAGCAGCTGCATGCCCCGAGCTTGTGTACCATGCACCATGGTGTTATTCTTGTACAGACAGCACTTCAGACAGCAGTCTACGCTGTACTCGACAAACTTTCATTTTGGTTGAGTGCGGGACAAGGGGGGTGATGCTGCTGCTGTAGTCCAATTGTAGTGTGTGGGCGTGTAGGTCAGTTGTGAGCACGCAAACGTGCTGCTGCAGGAATTAACTTTAGGTGTACCTCCTCGGGCTGGTGTACCCTTTTTTCTTCCCCACGTAACATAGTCTACAGATAGATACACAAGATGGCTACCAAACTGCCTTGTTGAGCCTGTTACCCACAGGGGAGTTATCGTTGTATGCTGTCTGGGAAACCGTAGACATATACAGGTACCCTTTCGCTCACGCTATGGATTCATTGCTAATCTATCTTAGAGTTATTTATATAGATAGAGATGTATTTATTGTGAAAAAAAAAAAACGTGTGTGTTATTTAGATCTTCTGATGGCTCTAGCGTTTTTGTGGCCACGGACCGAGTCTTTCGCTAGATGTTGGGATTAGGAACTGACACGAGTTTAATGTGAAGGAAACAACAACAACAACAATTAATTGATGAAACAAAAAAGAACATTCTCACTTTCGTCCTTGGGTCTGGTCGGCCAGTCTGCCAACAGAGGTCTGTCTCCACACAGCAGCTAGCTGCCGTGTGCTGTGGAGTGTTTGATCTCTCTCACGCCTCCGAAGCAAATAAATGCAGATTCATTTGTACCATCGGTGAAACCATCAAACTCTTTTCAGCTTCGGCGAAGAGAGAGAACGAGAGTAAGTGAGGCATGGTATTCCGCGTGGTGAGCCTGTGCAAGTCATGCCTCAACCAGGCGTACCCCTTGCGGAAGCAGCTCCTGCTGAGTTTCCTTGCATTTGCCCCGGTGAGGTCGTTGTTTTGACAGCAAAAGACAGCAGCAGCAGCAATCCTTTTTGCACTTCGCACCTGGGGCCAATACCTCGAAACACTCCACTGACTGGTTCATTTGTTCAGAGGTCAGTGCGCCACACTGGAATAGGTGCTATATGCGGCTTGCACTTGGTACATGCAACCCCACATGGTAGACAAATGTGGTGAAGCAGCCGTCGCCCCGATTTTTTTTTACGATTCCCTGCTGTTGTACAGAAACAATAGTAGTAGCAGGATGCCCAGCGGTTCCAAATTTTCCTGTCACGGCCGCACCCACCGTATCCGATAGTTCTCACCAGTAATGCAGTCACTGCCACGCCACGGCACAGTTATGCCTTCAGGATCACGGATGGGGCATTGTGCGAGGAAGACAACGAGCAACAGCAGTAGTGCGCTGGGAAGCATTTCTTGCAGATCATCTTGCCATACACGTGCACGTGCGGCCCAACGAAAGTTTTGTTATCGGGAAAGTTCCTGGGAAAGTTCCTTGCATCGGAAAAACTCAGAATGATGCTTGAAACGCAGCGGGAAGCGGGAACGACGAGGAGCTGACGACGAGCGTGATTTCTGCATTCACGGGGCACCCTTGTCTGCAGGTATGCGTGTCCTTTTTCACTCTGCTCTGTTTGCTTGTCTGCTTGATCGCTCGGTCTTCCCCTGTTCCTGTCTCTACGCTTGCTTGGAGGGTGAAGTGGTTGTTCTTTGGAGCAAGGATCCCCCCTTCTTCTCTTGTGACCGCTCTCTCTTCGCGCTCGCTCGTCGTGCATTAGTCGGGAAAATATGGCAACCCCGTCGAGGGGGGTGTCCAGAACCTTTTCTGCGCAATTCGGGCGCCCGGAGGACCGCGAGGTTCATGGGCTTGCGAGGAAACTGACTTGCGCGGTGTGCTCCGCAACAGTTGTAGGCGTGCTCCTGATTCTGCTTGGCCAAGTTCTTCTTACCCTCGCAGCCGTTCCGGAGTGGGGATCGAACACGAGAGAGACCATGGTCGATCTTGAGAAGGTAACGATGTCAATGATAGCAGTGCCGTTTAGGGGTTGTCTTGTGGAAACCTTCTTGTGTACTGCTGTTGCTGCTGTATACATTGAATACATGCAACTACCGCTGCAACATACACACACACGCCGTCAGCCGGTTAGCGCGGTCGATGCTAATAATAAAAACACACGCCGTCCAGTACGTACCTCTATCGACCCAACAGATATATGTTTTGATTACAGAGGGAGCGAATCCGGGGCTGTAAAGAGCGACCTTGATATGCTACGTCTTTCTGTCTACTCTTTCTCTTCGGTGGAAACCGAGAGGTTGCTATGATCCCTCCTTCGAAGGGGTTGCCATTCCTCCTTCAACCAAGAGTGCTGTTACGTCACCTCTATTACAGCACTTTTATTTTAGTCAGTATGGGAGTATCCCGCCAGCAATGATATTGTAGACTTGCAACTCTACGGGGGCGAAGAGCAAAAAATCCGTCATGTTTCAGATGCATATTGTAGCGTTCGGTTGTTTGATGAACCTTTTCCTTGGCCTTTGGTCGGGAATCAGGAGGGCGAAGTGGGAGTCCCGGTGTTGCGGTTCCCTGCTTGGCGACATGCCCTGTCCAGAGTACATTTATGCAGCGTTTGCAAAAACGTACTTCTTTGATCATATGGTCGACTTCAGAAGTTGCGAGGGAAGGGATTGCTGTTCCCTTCTCGCGATAAAAATATCTCAGGCAGGAACTGCAGGAGGGGGTCCAACCGCCCCCCTCCTATGTGACCCCGGTTGGGTCGTCTAGCTGGTAGAAGTGGAGGATAGGGGCCAGAGGGGCAGACGACAGAGTCCAACAATGGGAGACAAAAAAAAAGAAGTAATTATTCCTGCTAGACTGGCCAGGGCGGTGTGTTGTAGTGTTTTTTTTGGGTTGAAGAAACGGTACCTGCAACAGGCTCGTGCGTCGTTGCGTCGATACCATTGGCTCGTTTACCACACAGCAGCGGTGTTGTGTTCTGCGGGCACCGTGGTAATTTATAGGGGTAGTGTTCATTATCATCAGGCAACTCAAAAGCATGTGATGGGTGACCAGACTAATTATTACGGAGGGCACGGGTCGCACACTAGACCCTCGCGCACAAGTGAAGAGAGACGTACAGCAGCACTTATTGCACCAATGGTGGTGCATGTGTAGCAGCGTCAGTGTGTGTTATTGGTGTGATGGTGCGTCTCTCCAAGAGGAGGCCGCTGCAGCCAACCGCTGCCGCTGCGCTGCAAAAGAACTAAACGCTCATCTCTCCTCTCACTTGCTCCGCCGATAGCTACAAGCAGTGTAGCAAGGCCACACTCTGCTCCCGCCGTTTCGCCCTCGCTGTGGTGTGTGTTTACCTTCCCCTTTGTCCATGTCTGGCTGCGTGTGCGTGGTATCGCGTGTGAGGCTACGCCCCACAGGCCGCTGCTGCCGCTCGCTGCAAACACAAAAACAACCGAGATCAACAACAACAACCAAACGTTATCTCTCCTCTCGCTTCCTCCGCCGATAGCTAACAGCAGTAGGTATAGGGCACACACCCTGTTCCCGTTTCGCGCTCGCCCAAAACTCTCGCTGTGTTGTGTGGCTCCCTCCCCCCTCCCCCCTTGTTCGTGTCTGGCTCAGGGTGATGTCTTTTGCGTGAGCCTACGTACGTGTTGTTCCAAACAAGCCTCCTCCTCCACCTCGGACACGCGTGAATCCGACATTTATGTCAGCACAGATGCTGTGATATCTCGACGCACCGACTACGGATTGAAAAGGTAGCAGCTGGGACACCTTGGGCAAAATATGCTTGTCGTGCGCAAGTCTACGATTGCAGCTTGGTGCCTAGATGGTGAAATGGGCTCCAGTCTGCTGTGTTGTTGTTGTCACGGACANGGGTTTTCGTCGCTTGGCAACGACGTTGTAAAAGAAGCCAATTCACTTCGTGAACTCGGCAACCAGGTTACCGTTTTTTTTTTTTACCTCTGTTTTTTTTTTTTGCGGTAGCCATAATGGTGGTCGAGTAGATCATGTTGTGCGGGGTGGAGAACCCTCACTCCGCGCAAGGGGGGTGATCGCTTCACGTTGTGTTACAATGGTCAAGCACCCTCGAGGCAGTTAAACAGTGCTTATAACTGCCTCTGGAAGTGAGAACACCATAAA